GGAATGAGGCAGTTGTGAGACTCAGGCTGGTACGGTGAGAGGAACAGACAAGGTGCTCTCTTCGAAGCTGATAGGGAAAGGATTGCAGATCTGAGTCATTGATCCTGTTGTTTCGTTCACTACCAGTCACTACTAAGCACTACTTAGTGCTTTAGATGTGGAGAGGACTACTGCCTAAAAAATTCTTGACGTTGACCCATACAATGCCTTATTTTAAAGAGGTCATGTCGGCATTAAACTCAAAGTCGCTGTCTTAAGGGCTGTAAGTAAGACATCTAGAAATAATAAGGATGATTCATTCATTTTGATGTAGCTGTGGGTTTTGTGGTCATATACAGGGAGAAACAGTGTGTACTTGGACATATCCGTGCAAGCAGTTTTGCAGACCTCACTTCGATAGAGACTAACTCTAACCGGACTGTTCTCTTAGGTTTATTCTAATTTAGACTGGTGAAAAAAGACCTAGAATAACCACAGGTTTTGTATCGGGCAGACATACAATTATGTCTGTCTGTTTTCTTCTTGTTGGGTATTGGTGACATTGCTTAACTATGTCTCTACATGCTATCTCATTCTTGTATGAAGTATTCAGAACTGCAGCAGAAACTGTACTTTAAAAAAGGGGAAGGAAATTAAATGTGTGAGATTAGACTAATATAATTTTCAGAGCTTGGTTTTTGCAGACAAAACCCCAGGAAATTCAAAGCTTAGCCTGAGCTGAGGTTCATCAATGAAACTGTTGTGGAAATATAATGCTAGTTAATCATAGAAACGCAAAATTATGTGAGAGGTAAGAAGAGTGCAAGGCTTAAAGATCCTGACCCATAACTGTATCCTAAATGAATGTTTTTGTATTTAATTTCCTGAGGAAAGTATTAAGGATGATGAATAGGGGAGGAAAATACTTCATGGAAGTTTAGTTAATTGATGAGGCAGCTTTCAAAGCAAAAATAGTTCAACAACCCACAGATCTGACTACTCTGAAAAGCTGAATGGTGTAATTATATATTATATTCTACAATGTCTTATTTTAATCTTGTACTGATGTTTGTACAAACAGATACAATTACTTTTTAAAGGAGAACTTATAAAGTAAGTCTTTTTACTTCAGTGAAATACTTCAGTCATTTTTGACAGTCATGGGAATTGTCTAAAGCTAGTATACTAATATACTACAGTGTTACTGCATATGTACGCTCAAGTCACACTATCACTAATTGCTAGTTTGAACAAAAATAGTTTACAAGCATAATTATGTTCTTGGTAAGGAACAAAGTATCTTTCATTCCCGGTGAAACTCCAAAAGAAAAATATTAAGATCAGATATCATGAACTCAGTCACTTTGTATTTGAAAATAGGAAAGATTCTGAATTGAATCAGTGTTGCCTTGAAATGGATTATATTTTTTCTGATATATGAATTGATTTGTGGGTTAAGCAAGCTACAGGAGCTGATGTTATTAAATTTCAAAGAAGCTGGAAAAAAAAGCTTCAAGGCAATAAGGTGTTTTCAGGAAACTTTTTACCACCACCAGTCAAATCTTAATAGCATTTATGGTATAGAATTCAGTATATAATTTATAATGCTCTTTTGAATATGTTTTATGTTAAGCATAATGCTGTTCAATTCTACAATTAAAGCATACAGGGAAGGTTGTCATTGGCAGACCAGTTAAAAAAGAAAACTTTATACTCCAGCCTTGATGTATCATTTTGTATTGGCCTGGAGAAATTGCTTAATTCTTTTGACCTGGAGTGTAGTGAAGGGAGACTTGTATACCAGCACACTACAGAAGAGTTTAGGATTCAGAGTATGTCATTATTTAATGAATGTTACCCATGCAGTTAATTTGATTGTATCAGTTTAGCTTTCTTTATTAGCTGCTCCAAACAGAAGAGGAGGTAATTATAATAATGCAGAAAAAGAAGAAATTTAATAAATGTTCATAACGTATGTGAAATTTGGTTTTATGCTAATCTGTATTTTTTTAGCTGGGCTACCTTCCACATTGTTCTTTTCCTGATTGTCTATTTCTGGCTTTTGTCTCACTTTCTGTGTAGGCCTGGCTCATCACATCTGTAATCTCCTAATAGAAACTGTGGCTCTGTACTTGAAGGCAGATGATAAAAGCAGCATCAAGACAGCAAATGCGCTGCTTCTGTCCTTGCTTGACATTTTGCACTGCATGCTGATGTATATAGCAAACATTGTGCGCCAGACTTTACAGGTATGAAATTTATTTCCTGGGGTCATCACCATCTTAAACAATTTTTAATGTAACTTCCTGTTATCCTCATAATGAAATTCCTCCTGTTGTGATTTTATTGAATTTTTAGTTTGGTGGAAAGAGAAGAGCATGTATTTTCAACTGCGTATTCATGTACCTGCCTGGCTAGACTATCCGTACTAGCCTAGCTATATACTGGCAACACAGATTGTAGCTGACTGTGTTGTTTCTGTACTGCATAAATAGTGCAATTCAACATTTGCTCAATAATAATTCAAAGCATTCTTCCATTCACTTTAAAAGAAAAAGTTTACTTTGTAAAGAAACAGTATTGTTGTTATTACAAATCTTGTGATCACTGTGCTTGAAAAGCACATGTAACCTCTGTGTGTGTGTTGACAAAATTATTTACTCTCTTGCGCTGATTGATTTGTCTTCCCAGTTTCTGTCTGAACCACTGTGAATCATGGCACTGGTAGGACTTCCTCCTCCTTAAAAATGGAGCAGAAGAAGATACTACACAAAGAAATTGCACATAACACTTAAGAAACAACACAAGAAAAAGCATTTGTCTTTTTTTAGACATGATGTTAAGCTGGCAATGTTTGCTTTGTTTTTAAATGATCTGCCAAATTTCTGCTTTAGTCAGCGGGAAGTAACTTCTGTATTTAGGCTGCAAACAACAACACTTAATCTTCATGTTAGGTTTTCCATGTTCTTGGGATTATCTGCTGAAAAATAGAGAAGACTGTTAGGTCTAGTATATCTGGAGGACAGAGATTTTAAAGATTGCAGCCAGGTTGTGTTGAATTTCAGGACATGGCTTCTTTATTCTGAAAAGGTCCTCCTCTGTGGTGTGTTTGGGTTTTGCTTGTTTTTTTTTAAGAGGGTTTAATCTGTAAAGTGGATGCTGAAAATTGAGGTTTTTTCTTCTACACAGATTTAGGTAATCAGTTGTGTTATCAAACAGGTATTTGACCGAGAGGTGCTGGTTTGTTGTTTTTAATTTTTGGAAGAAACTGTATTTAGAACTGATGGTACAATACCTTATCTTTTTTTGAGTTCTCTAGTAGTAGGTTCTGTAATGCATTTCAAAAATCGTAGGCTAATTGCTGATTGTCATATTGTTGGCAGCACTCTGTGCAATCACAGAGAGAAAAATTCTGTACTTACACTCCACACAACAGTGGTGCGGCCACTTATACTGGAGGACAAATATGAGGAGAGAGGTTCTTGCACATGGATTGGTAGTGTCACAGAATGGTGAGGGTTTGGAAGGGTGAAACTGATGATTTTTGTTTAGATACAAAATTAAATCTATGCATTAAAAGCCAAATTCTGTTCTGGTTTTACATGAATACATCAGTTGATTGATGCACTAAAACTGCAGCTCCAGTTTTGCCCATCTCAAGTCAAAGTAATCTGCTTTGCTCTGGAAGGCTAATGGGTAAAAAGAGGCAGCTAGAAAAAAAACCTGAGTTTTGAGGCAAAGCTCTGTCCTGTACCCTTGTAAAACTAGTTTTTCGCTGGTGTTACTTGCCTTGGCATATAACAGGGCCCCTGTGGGTTCTAAGGCTGCTGCAGTTCACATGCCCTGTTGAATGATGGCCATTAGTTGGTGATGCTATTTACCATACTTCATGGCTAGGCTTCGCGAATGAAGATAAGGGAAGGACACTACCCACGCTTGCTGCAAATGCGCTGATGTCTAAAAAGGCCAATGCGGGATAGGCAAGTCCGGTTGCAAAAGGCAATTTACCATACATTTACATAATATTCCACTATCCATGTGTCACTAAATGCAACATTATAGTGATAATAAATATTCTTGGACTGTTTTTATAGGGATCTTCTGAATAAGATAACTTCTAAAACAGAACTTTTTTCCTGAAGAAAGGCATTATCCTTTCAACTCATCAATATCAACAGCGGAGCTTCAGCAGTAGTGTCTCTTGTCTCAGGGGACTTGCTCCTGTGTTCACTTACGAAACGAAAATTCTCAAGTATTACACTTGGATGATGGTTTTAGGATTGAGCTTTAAAATGATTTTTAAAACTGCTGTTTAGTCAAAATGTTTACGTTTTCCTCTAGCAACTAGACTGTATAGGGTCATGATCCAGAGCTGCTGCAAGATAATGAAGTTAAATGAAAAATCTTGCAAGCAAACCTTTCTGGTGTCCTGGGGCAGGCAAGGGTCATAAATAGCACTGCCTAGGATGGCAGTGCGTTTTGATGAGAGGGACTGACGATGGTCAGAATTACAAGCAGTAGCAGATCATATCACAGACTTCTGTCACTTAAGAATTTTATTATTATTATTTAAAAAATAAACTATTATCATGTGAATATATAATGAATATTTCAGGATACAAAGTGAGTCAGAAGGGCAAAATTTGACATTATTGCTGACAATCCTAACATTTCAGTTACCTTGATTTTCTTGTTTTGAGTTGAGCTTAAGATTACTCCAGATAAAGGAAAAAATATAGTTGAACTTTGGTGTTAAAATAGGCATGTCACGTTAAAAGAGAATACAAATACATAAAGCATTATGGCTTTAGAGGTATCTTTTGTGTATACAGTTTATAGCATTTTGCTGAAGAAATG